AAATATGAAGGAAGTAGATCATTTCTACTGGAGAGCAATTTTCGTAAAATTTGAAAGATTATACTTTTTGCTGTTAAAAGGATAAAAAAGCTGCTTTTTTCCTAATCATTTTAAACTTTAAAAATTCACAAGGGACCAACAATGTCTATTATTTTTTTGCATGTAAATTTGGTTCTCAATCAAGTATAAGCTGAAGAGTAGTTTCATCACTGTATTTGTCATACGATTTTCCTAGCAAGCAATTCTTAAAATATTTGAAAGATAATGCATGCTGATATTAAGAGAAAATAACTTATGAAGATAGTCAAATATTTGCTGATTCATTAGAAAAACTTATCTTTTGCTCAGTTTTTGAATATTAATTATTATTGAGGCATGAATGATTACTGTAGTCAACAAAATAAAATTGTCCCCATAATCTACAGTGATATTTTCTTCATTTGCAATAATTACTATCTTTAGGGGAAAAAAAGTAAGGTTGAAGATTATTGTAGTAAATAATAAGTTGCTTTCACGCAAACATAAAAATACAAGAACAAATTTATCGTATGGGAATCGTTTCTTTTTTTTTTTTAAATTTTCAGCGCGTTTCTTACAAAATTTTTACAAATTTGAATATCCATCGCAAGTAATTTTCTCTTTACAAATTTTTTACAAATTTCTGAATATCTTTCTTTATGTTTTCTAGTGTGAGCTACTTGAAAATTAATTTTTGTTAATTTATGAAAACATAAAATTCAAGAGATTGCTATGACATTGACCTAATCGGATTGTTGCAGGTTGAAAGCGTGAAAAAGGACTTAAAACAGATATACAATGCAATGTTTGTTATGTTTAGTGTGCATCTCCTGTCCTTATTATCTTATCATATTTATTAAGAGGAATTATTTTTTATTATTTCGTTTCTTCGTTTTGCCCACAGTTGTTCGTTCAATTTATCGCAAATGCATTTGGTACAAAGCATGCCAAAAGCAAAAAAAAAAAGAAAAAAATCACTATCCGCTTACGACACTTAAAATTGTCCTTCGTTTACTTGGAAAGCTATCCATTTACATTTCCATCTGTCAGTTGCATTTTGTATTTGTTCCTTTCCTTTTTTCACAGACTACCGAAAAAAAATGCAAGACTGAGTTCAGTTACGGTGCTGAGAGCAAAGTGAATGATTTAAACGCAGACAACAACAAGCAGCCTAAACGCTGGACAGCGTAAAAAAGAGCAAAATATTTTTACTCAAAACCCACAATTTTTACTGCAATTACATCCATAAATTTATTCTTCTCTTGCAATAAAACTACATTTCGATGCCATGAATCGCTTCATATTTCACTCCATTATACTTACAACAGTACCTCTCATGTTGATTGATGAGATAAAATCCTAGCCTTTTAATTAAACATACCTAATTTGATTCACTATTTCAATTTATCTTCATGCTATTGCCATATATTATGAAGACATTGATAACGATCAAGCTTATACTTCTACTATGATTACTATTCAAAACGGCTTCAACTGATTAAATCAATAACAGGTAAGCTTTCATGCATTTTATAACTATGTATTGATGCACATTTACTTGCAGTAAGAATAATTTATGCCTTCCATGTAACTAATCGACCACGCACTATTATGATCAACCACTAATGAATACATACGAAACAGTTACATTATAATGATATTCATAATGATTTTTTGCAGAAAACATGTATTCTAGAAAAATTTTCTTTGGCAATGATCGATTTTCCTTTTTTTTGAGCACAGAAAATGAAAGGTGTCTGATTTTCAAATTTGCTTTCTGTAATGAAGAAAATTATGTGTACTTCATATTCATGAATAGTGAATACATTCGACTATAAAAAACATTTAATTGCTTTAAATGCTAAACTAAAATCAAAAGTAGGGTGTACGCAACCATAGCTCACAATCTTCTCACTACTACTTATTCTTCATCAACAATCAGTTGAGTAAACTGCATTGTGATACCATCTAAACTGTAACCTAAAACGAGCAAAGAAAGCTAATAAGTCGTTAAAGCAAAAAATGGAGATAAAAACCCTTGGTGAAAACAGAGGTATTACACGACATCTAACATATGCTGAAGCAAGTGCACCAAGACACAGGTATCTCTTCCAAGTCGATGTCAATTATGAATTTTTTTCGTCAATGATATCTTCGAATGTATCGCAGTCGAAGCTAGTCGCTTCGCGTATTATCATAAGCGTCCAACTATTTTACCGCGTGAGATCCAAATGTGTAGGACTCATTTTGTGAAATAAACTAGCAAAACACGCGGTGTCAAAAGGTACGAAAGTGCTTACCATATGCTAAATAAATTTGAGAATGAATGTTCTGATATTAAAATGATATGAGAGATTCACGGGAAAGAAAATCGCAAACAGTTCCTATTAAAAACCGAAAATGGATTACGATAAATGACATCATTCGTGCTCTGTCATTCTTTGGAATTGCAATTTACAGCTGTAACTGCTCGAAGTGTACCATTCATTTAAAATGATGAATTAGATAAAATATGATTTAAGACATCGAAATTGTTGCATGTTTTCGATAGAAAATTTAATAATTTTTCAGTAGACTGAAATTTACAGTTGTAATAAAAAATTTTGCACAGAAACTGAAAAATTTTTTCAATTCCCAGTCAGAAATACTCATTAAAATACGTTCATGATTAAGAAAATAGAGTAAACCTAATGAGAAAAATACTTTGTTTTCGAGGTTCTAAATATCTGAAACAATTTACAACAAATGTTTTTGAATACCAGTGACGATCGTAATATAGAGTGAATCAGATAGATTGCATTGTGCGCTATGATTCATGTGTTGGGCCGTGTATTTTGCATCAATTTCGACTTGAGGAATTTCGTCTCTGAAACGTTATTCTTTCTCATCCCAGACCTGATAAGGTCGTGGGTGCGTAGTGTAAAGTTGAGAATGTGTATAGGATCTCTAAACTTAACTTACCTTACAAATCACCTCCGAATACTTTTCAATGGTTCAGTTTTTAAATTTAGTATTTGTATTCAATATCTGTCAGGGTCTTTTGTTTCTTTTAAACTTGTGTGTTTTTTTTTGTGTAATTTTGATTAGAGCTCATAATAAACCACTAGGTGATAGATTTTTTGATTTACATGCGTTTTTAATTATCCTCTTTATTTATCATTATTTGTTGACTTTTCATTAATGCATGAAATTATTTCAGATTAGACATATCGTGAAAAACTGTCACGACAATGTCCACACCACGAGAAAAAGATAAGTCAAAAGTAAGCTTCATGCATATTAATTTTTGTTACTTATGTAAAGCAGGGACATGTACTTGACATCATACGATTTACATGAATATAATTATTATAACATGATATTAGATAATAGAATTTAAGTTGTATAGCATAACTATCAATAAGTTCATGTGTTGGTCCGTGTATTTTGTATCAGTTTAAACTTGAGAAATTTCATCTGTAAAACGTTGTTATTCCTTCTTTCTCATTCCAGACCTGATAAGGTCGTGGGTGGATAGTGTAAAGTTTGGAATGTTTATGATATATCTAAACCCTCCTTAATTTTTAATGTTTCACTTTTGTCATGTTCTTTCTTCGTCTTTTTTAGACTAGTTTTTTTTTCTTTGTAATTTTAGTTAATGCGGATAAAAGTAAGCCTGATGCGTGTTATTTTGTTTCGTATATAAGCAAGATGTATACTTGACACCATACAATTTGCATGGTTATAATCATTTTAGCAATGATATCAGGTAATAAAATTAAGTTTGTACAGCATAACAATTTATAAATAAGTAAACTGGAATAACATAAATGAGGCTAACTTGTATTTAGGTTTTAACGAATTTAATTCAAATTTTTATGCGTTTATAGTTATAAAGCGTATACTGTAAAGTAATTGAAGTGTTGAGTATATAGTTGAACCAAGATATTACTTTAGGTCCGGCTACGAAATATATTGGGGCGTTTCTTCAATTCTAATAGTAATGATGTCAGTTCTTCATCATATTATTCTGGTGCAGGAGAAATTAGTTCGCCATATAATACAGTTCATCGAATACATGTTGGCTATGATGGAAAAAAATTCACTGGTTTACCTCAGCCTTGGATGGATACATTACTTCGGGATATTAGGTTTATATTGGATTAATTTTCATTGAATATTGCTTAAATTTGTAAAACCTCTTCTTTATAGTGAAGCAGACCAAAAGAAGAATCCATCAGCAGTTGTATCAGCTCTAAAGTTTTATGCGAAAACTGTGATGGCACAGGAAGCTGATAAACAAAAGTTTATGATTACGAATTCACAGCTGCCATTTGATGACGAAAATGATGAGGAATCTTCTGTTTTGGCAATTATGAAAACTAGTGATGCAAATAGTAATATTTAATTCTGACCTCCCTTGAATTTGTCAGCTTTAAAGGACTTAATGTCAATGCAGTTTTATTTATTGTCTATAGCTTATATAAGAAGATTATTTGTATTTTCAGCACCAAAACTTAATAATGTGACGAATAATCGTTCAGCCGAAATTTCTCTGGAATTACCAACTACAGTAACTAATGAAGTGAAAAAAACTACTCCGCTGATAGCACTTCCTAATCATTTTCAGCAGCCGATTGCACCTCCATTACCGCCAATACGGAATTCGGTCAGGTAAATGCATTTTTGGTATCATTGTAAGAAAATAAAAAATTTTTTGTATTTCGTTACTAATATTGTGTGCTGATAAACTGTTTTTAATTTTTCATTTATGTTATTTTAGTACTGCCGCTATTGGTGAAGGGAATGTTGAAGCTATACAAGAGGAGATATCTACAAAATCAATGAGTTGTGCTCGTAAAACACCTCCTCCTTTACCTCCTAAACCAGCGGTATGCCATCAATTTTTATTTTCGTAACATCGTTTTGAGAGAAGTTAAATGTTATCATTTTACAAAGGGACATCAATATCTGATTGTGATAGTAGCACTGAGGGATTATAATCACAATAAATGAGGACTGCATTTAATTGGCATAGTAAAATAATAGGTTTATAATTTTTGAGCTATACTGTTTGTTCGCAAGTACGTTTATACCACATTTTGCTAAATTGTTTTGACAGGTATAGATTGTGTAATAGGAAGAATTTTTTAGTGAAAAACGGGTTGCTTATTGCTGTTTCTAGTGTATCATATCGTAAGAAATGCAGAGAAAAGAAACTATACTATTTTTAGTGACGAAGAACAATTCATATTGAATATCAGTTGTAAAAGTTGTACTTCTTAGATACAGCCATTCAAAAATAATGATTAAAGTGATATATCATTACAAATTATGTTGGAACAATAAATCTAGGAAATAAGAGGAGTAGCTTTTTCATACATAGAAGAAAGGAACATTTGACTGATTGTTCTATATCTTCCATCATTCATTATTTAGATTATGGAGACATGAAATAAACTGTAAGGAAAACCAAAAAATACACTTGGGAAGTATAAGATTCTTTCTCTTTATGCATCTGAATTATCTGTTTTTAGGAACATAGTTTTTATATCTTTCTAACGTTACAGAATCTAATTTTATAATTAATTTGAACGTATTATCCGTATGTAAAAAAAATTTTGTTTGGTTGTACACACAAATTAAATGATGAGAAAGTTAACTGATTTTATTGCTTAGAATTTTTGTCAGAAGATGTGTTCCAATTTATTCCTAATGCTAATTAGTAAGTTGAAGATGAGTTACTGTTAAATTGGGTTATGATCTGAATTGAATGGGTTATTTATGTGATCGATAAAATCTTGATCGCCTAATTATATTATGAAAACAGATTTACACTGTGTGTAGATTTTTAAAATTTGTCATCATTAAAGTTGCCTCAATTATCTTATCATTCATTGCTCATTAGAGTTTTCTTAATTCGTCTCTCTTACTAAATTTTAATTTTCACTTATTTGATTGTGTTTCAGCATTTGAAACCATCATGTTCACATGGTGAGCAATTGGCATTGCAACAAAATGGTCGAAATAGCTCTTCGTCGCTTAAATTCATTAGCGATATCGATGCAAATACTATTTTACAGAATGCAACAGATGAATTAGTTGCAGTAGTAAATCATTCGGGAAGTGTTGTTCCAGAAATCAAGAATTTGAACACAGTTAATAGCAATAACGATTCATCTAATGGTGTTTGTGAAAATGTATGTTTTCCATGGTAATAAATTTCACTAAAGAAACCTACCTTTTGAAATTTCTTGTTATTTCTGCAGTTAGATGTTTTATATTTTTGATCTTATAGGTGCAAGTAAGAAAAAGGACGCAAGCAAGGAAAGGAATGGATGAAACGGCAAACAAGTCTTTACGTCAGCGGCCTACTGATCAGGAAGTTAGTTTGGCAATTTTTTTTTAGTTGTATCCAAATCATTCTGTAATAAAGCACTTTAATGGCTTTTAGAACCATGTTACGGTAAACAATTCCAAATTACCAAAATTTAAAATCCCAATTGAAGATATTGGAAGAGCTGAAAAACATAGTAAATGATGGTGATCCTACAGATCGGTATGAACTACTTCAAAGAATTGGCGTAGGGTAAGTGTAAACGATGCATAGTATTAATTTCTGTCACCAAGAATTATTTGTTTAATCCAGTATATGACACTATGTTCTCCTCTTAAGTGCTTTCAGTGGCTAAATTTGGGATTCAATGTTAAATGTGTATGATGTTTCAAGAATCTCATTATTTCCTGATTTGTAATGCTTATTTTTTCTCATTGTTTTTTGTTTTCAGTGCATCTGGCCGTGTTTACACTGCTTGTGATAAAGTCACTAATGAAGTCGTTGCCGTAAAGCGCATGGCATTTAAAAGTCAACCCAAAAAAGAATTATTGTTGACTGAAATTAAAGTTATGCAGAAATATAAACATGAGGTAGGTTCAAAGCAGGCCAGTTAATTGTATGGTAATTGCTTTAATTTCCCTGGAAGTACCTGTTTAATTATTGTCTTCCAAATTTTTCTTTCGGTCAACAAAGATCGAATAGAATCATTTTCAGAACTTGGTCAATTATATTGACAGTTTTTTGGTAGATGCCGATGATTTATGGGTTGTGATGGATTATTTAGAAGGTGGCAATTTGACAGATGTTGTTGTCAAAACAGAATTAGATGAGGGACAAATTGCTGCAGTTTTGAAGGAATGCTTACATGCACTTCATTTTTTACATAGGTAAAACAATTTTGTATTTCTAATAGTCATGTATCGAGTATAAAAATGATACAGAATCTATTTTTTTAATGAACGTGATGAGAGAATATATTTGCGTTCTGTGGAACGTTTTTTAAAACTGTTCAGATTAAAATTTCACAGCCACGGCATCATTCATCGTGATATCAAATCAGATAATGTCTTGCTGGGAATGCAGGGTGCTGTAAAGTTAACTGATTTCGGGTTTTGTGCTCAAATCCAGCCAGGATCAAAAAGGTAAGCAGTATTTCAATGAAAGAGCCGTTGTTCATTGTACAGAGGTATTCAGTCCTGAGAAATTAAGGGCGACAATGGTTGGGACACCGTATTGGATGGCTCCGGAAATCGTTAATAAAGTGAAGTATAGTTATAAAGTTGATATTTGGTCGCTTGGAATAATGGCACTAGAAATGCTTGATGGAGAACCACCATATCTTTATGAAACTCCTATTAAAGTTTGTTTGTACAGTGATGAATTTCATTTCTTTAACTGTTTTTGAGAGCTTTAAAAACGTGAACACTGCTTCTTTTTAGCATGCTTTTTTTGCATTTATAACTGCTGTTTACATATTTTACACTTTTTTCTTCTGTTTTTTTTATGTCTGTGGATGCATCGTTTTTTTCAGCAGGAACAATACGTTAAAGCCATACGTATATTTTTGTTAGTTTTTCTTCTGTTTTTGGAAATGTTATCACGAATTTGTGATTTCTTACAGGCAATATATTTGATAGCTCAAAATGGGAAACCAGAAGTGAAGAAAAAAGACTCGCTTTCTCCAGAATTTAATGACTTCTTAGATCGTTGTTTATGTGTGGAACAAGAGGATAGAGCAGATGCTGAAGAATTGTTGCAGCATCCATTTATTCAAATCGCAAAACCATTGAGTTCGCTTATCGCCTACATACGTGCGGTTAAAGAATTGAAACAGCAGCAGAATTAAGCAAAAAATAGTGTTAGGAGAAGTACCTGTGAGACAAAAGGAAGTAGGAATAATATATTTGTCATTTTTATAAATTGTGGAGTAGTGTGTGATGATTGATTGCTTTCCCGCATATTCAGATGCTGTTTTGAAACGGTTGTGTATATAAATTGAAATTTTATTTTGACAGTGAGAAACTAGGTAATATTTGACTTTCATATCATGATTCTTATCATTTTAATTTATGGAAGAAATCATGATAGTTATTGAACATTTAATGGTCTTAGAGATCGGTAACTCAATTACTTTTGTGTTACTTATGCACATATTAAGATTGAATTATAGGTTTCTGCTGTTATCTTTTGCAAAGCTTTTATGATGAGAGTTACAAAGCGGAACGAATACATTGTTAAGTTGTCCATTTTTTTAAATTACATTTTTTAGTAAAATTAAATCTCATTATTTCGCATTATCTTTCATCTCACTGCCTAATGAACAGCATATTTGATAGTTGTTTGCTTACTTGATTTTGGTAGTAATCTAATAGGTTCAGATTATGCATTATATTGATGTATTTTGCTTCTAATTAATTTATATCCATCTAGTAGTATATCCAATATTTAAATGTCTGTATAGATTGCACTTTTTTGCAGAGAAGTAGATTGAAGACATTAATTTCTCTCAGGCTTTGTCTTCACTTATCCCTGTTACAATGATATTGCACAAAACGTGCTTTTTGTGGCATTTGTTGCATTTGGAATGCTATTTTTGAAGTGTCATCAAGTATTGTCGGAGCATAATTTACACAAGTGTGAGTGAGTTTATAGTATAACGTATTTCTCTATAAAACGAAGTCACATGTATATAAAGTTGTAATCTTTTTATTTTGTCATCTTTATGTTAATATTTGTTGTTTGGACTGCTTACAGACATCACGTTCATACTTATCCTTTGCAAGTCATCATTTTTTGAAGGTGTAAATTTAATTCGTATTTTTGTCAAGTGTTGCCAAGACAGTCCCAGTAGAAATTAAAATCAGGAAAGAAGGGAACTTTTTTGTTATATGCAAAAGTTCCAAGAAAAGGTTTTATCCAAGTTCAACTATAAATATTTAGTGCTTGAACTTTGTATTACTTACCTTCGTTCTTTATTTTATTTGGGGATTCTCTGTGGGTTTATTTCATTTCTCCTCTCTTTTTTATCTGTGTCGGGGATGGTTTTTAAGTTATCAGTGCAATCATTTCAAATCACTTGAGATTATAGTATGAAATTTTCCGCCGTGCAAATGATTTATTCATTTTTCGACTGTATTTCATCTATGCACGGAAAGTTAAGCGCCGTATCCTCTTATCGTAAATTGTATTACGTTAACTTGTAATGAATTTTTTCATTGCACAAATCTGTATTGGATTGTGCTCATTCACAACGCATCTATTCTAATTTAAAAGGCTATCAGCATTTGTCTTTACTTCTTACTTGTAGAAGCGAGCACTTCTGAACGGTAATAGTTTTTAGTGATCACTATTTATCTTGATATTCATGTATTGTTTTTTGTTAAAAGCACATAATTTTTAGAATAGGTTGTGTTAAAGACGTGTAAAACAGAATAGGTTGATCGCCGTCCGTTTTCATTCGGGTTTTTATTATGTTATCTTAAATATTGTATCTGAATTTTGCTGTTCATTTTGATCTAATTACGTATCTTTTTACATTGTCAAGTTTGCTTTATTGTTGCTTGCTTCATGTGTTTTAGGTTTTGCTTAAAAATGCTGGCAACATATGCTTACATAATGTATACCTTTCAGCTCATTGTGCTTTTTCCACCTTTTTTGTTTATTGCGCTTATTGTTAATGAATTTTTTGTCATTTCCACATATCGCTATTGATAAGAGTTATATATTAAAAAGTCATAAAATGTGAAAGCAAGGAAAATGGTCATAATTTGGTTCTGAAGTATTTTTGATTAATGCACTGAGAGTAACATGCAATCGAGGGATGTGTTTGTAGTGTGTCCAAAGATAAAATCAAATTGTGATAGAAGGCAGCTGGTGAATACCGTAGATGTTTGCAGAAGCAAATGTACTTCTAGTATTGAGTGTTAAGGGTGTTTGTTTCGTTGTGATAGGACGCTTGCAAATGTGGAAGTTAATGTTTCTATTCTAGATGTATGCGAAGTTGTGTTGTTTGTACAACTCGGAATTATCATGAATTTACGAGATGTGGTTGCGGAGTCTTTGCATATGTATGGTTTTTTTTCTGCTAGGTCAGTATTCGAGACAAAGTGGTGTCTGATTCTGAAACTTGGTTTGAGTTACTACAAATGATGCTGCTTGTCTTTTGATTGCAAAGATTTGTGATAGTTTCTTCGCATTAGGAATTTTGCTCTAACGTAGCTACTATATGTGGTGCGGAGATATAAGATTGAAAATAAGATGAGTTTGCGCAGCTGTGCTACTTTAATATAGTAATTTATTGATGTCTGTCTGGAATGATAATAGAAGGCGGTGACAACTTATTATGGATATCGTAGTGGTACTTTATATCTCGCCAGTATTTGTTCTTTGTAGTACGTCTTTGAAATAGAAGGGTGCAAATGGATATCCCAGTCCAAGATAGAATTTTGACTGGAATTCAACCCTGAAATTTTCTCGTTTTTATTCAGGAATTGAGTTATGGGTTTTCTGTTGTGGCTTGTTTAATGAGACTTGTTTCTCGTGAAAATAGTTTTTCTAATCATATTAAATTTATAACAAACCAATGCAATCGTAGCGCATGTAGGAAAGCAGAAAGTCCTTCCATCAATACTAGGATTGAAATAGTCAGGATGCCAAATACAAAAAATATCAAATATGTCGCAATATAACCCGCGAAACCAGACATTCCGAAAGCTTGTACAAGTACCATTTCCCATAAAACTTCTGATAATTCTGTAATGACAAGGGATGTTATTATTCATGCTATTGATAGGTTTTCAGGTTATTGATAGGTTTTAGCTCAGTACTTATATGGAATGAATTCTTTAAATAGTAAAAATTTGTTGTTTAATTTATATGGCATTGAAATAGCATTAAACTAATCTATAATTCTTCATCAAACTTTTGGGTATTTTAAAGCACATAAGAATAAAGGTCTTGATTTTTTTAAACCGTAACAGTACAATTATGTAAAATAAACCAATTAGTTAGATCAATTAATTATTAATATGATTGTATGTAATTTCTAAGAGAAACAGCAAGTTTAAATATATGAAAGACTTACGAGCATGCGCCAGTGATAAGGCCCACAATCTTAGATATGATGCTGTATGTGACACACATCCAAGAACATATTCAATAGTATGGATAGCTTGATGAACCATTACATCTGTGAAGGACTGAAAAGTTTATGGTCTTGTTATTACCTACAAATAGTATTTTTGGTGTGGAAATTTACAAGCGTTTGGAGGGGTAAGTACTGTACAAAAGTTGTGAAAGAATAGTGGCAAATAATCATTAAGATGCATTATTATTCAAGATAAAATTTTAGGTATTAAAAAAATATGCAACAAAGATATATCATTATTCGAATGTGTAACTATAACTATAACTGTAACTCAATAAATCGTACTGTACCTCTTCCTCATGTTCGTTAGCAAGTGTTGACTCATTCTCTTCTCTAGTTAACGTGCTTTTACCATTTTCATTTAAACTAATCTCTGTTTCTTCACTTTCTTTATTCATACGTACAACCTTTAATATAGATTTTGCAATAAATGCTACCAAGAATACTGGTTCATTTGCAATTTCATGTTACAGTAATCAGTTAGTTACGGAAAAATCTCTAATTAAAGTTTAGATCCAGAACGTTTCTTAATTTTTAAGTATACTTTTACACCTTCCTAATTTAAAGCTCTAATGAAATATATTTTCATATAATTCTCAATAATTTGCATCTTAATGTGATCATCCTGAAAAACAATGAAAGATTATGATTACACTTTCTTTGTAATATATTTTCTAACAGATTGAATAGTTAAGGAAACTTACGACACTGTCACTGACAATATTATTTTTTCTTCGATGCAATAAGAAATGAATCGGTTTCCCGAATAACATAACAGGAATACATATTACAGCTATGATGACCAGAAACGCTTCAAGAGTTGACTAAAAATTTTGTGATGTTTAGAAAAGACTCAAAATTATTAATGCTACATATCTTCTGATACTGTATTTGTCAGCATATTCACCTGTCCTTGATACCACTGATTAAGATGGCAATTTGTCCACTTCGCATATTCAATACGTTCACCATTTCTACCAATAACCTCATCCATATTAACAAATCCAGAACGTCGCTTTTTGAACATAAACATATTAATTAAGCCAATCTGAAATACATTTAATAACACAACACAATTGAATGGAAATTTTTAAAATTTTTTATGCAGAAGAATTTAAATTAATAATTATCATAGAGCAAATAATTACCAGCAATGATGGGGCGCAATTTGATCCTGGATAAAGCATTCCAAAAATATAATCCTGTTTAATCCAAAAAAATAACCATTTAATGATAATTTGTATACACAAGTAAATAAATATACACGTCATGAACAAAATTTGCGGGATAAACACTGTGTATATCTCAATTGACGATTTGAAATATCTAAAATAATGACCACTTCAATAAGAGATGATGCAACAATTTATAAATGATTGTATTATTCATAGCAGTATTACTATTACTGTAATAATATCAATCTAATTCTGGATAATATAGAATGGGATGATAGATAATTTTAGTGTTATTTCTAAATATTATAATGTACGAATGAAAATTATGGATTAACTTTACATTTCTTTAATTTGAATATATGGAAACAACTATTTACTTCAAATTCTTTGAAATATTTTTGTAAATTTTGGGGAATTTATTATAAACTCTTATCAAAACGTACATGTAATTAAAAAGTGATAAAATCACTCCAAATGTCATTTGAGCAATTCCAAGTATTATAGATAGTTTCATTTTCAGTGAATTTGAAAAATTTAATCGGTTCTCAGCTAAATTCCAAATAGGGTCAACTCCAAAGTAATATGGTCCTTGATCATGCATGAAAGATCTCGAAGGTGGCAAATCGACCATCATTTCTTTTTTGGTAATAATGGAGTCATTATACCATGATTCAATTTCCGCATGTCTATAAAAGTTCTATAATTAACTTCAACAAACAATCCAAATTTTATAAAAAATAAGAGAAAAAAAGTTTCCAAATAAATGATCCGTTAAACAGCTGATCATTGTTTTAACTTTGTTGCCTATCTACAATGTTTTCTTTTTCAAAGCTTATATCTCAATAAAAACGCACTTATAAAATATATCAGTAAATTACGGTAATTTCTTTAGATTTGAATTTGATTGAAAAGTATCGCATACTTACTGAAAAGGGTTGCGCCATTTAGAACCAAATATATTGAATGATTTTGCAAAAACATCATTATAAAGAAAACCTGCATGAATTGAAAAAATACCCATAAGTAAAATAATATATCGACCTCCAAAAAATGTGTTGAAGATCTAAAAAGTTTGATCAAAAATATCTACAAATTGTAGCTTTACAAAAAAAATAGATGAATTTAATTTAAATAACTGGAAAATTTTGGTTAAAAGCGGTCAAATGCTACCTCATCTTTAATATTGCGCGATGCAAGATTTTTTTCTCGAAGTACCATCCATAAACCAGCAATTAGCATAAGAATACCATGTCCAAGGTCACCGAACATACAGGCAAAAATAAATGGGAATGTTATGATCGTATAAGGAGCTGGAAAATAAATTTGTTACAGAAATGATTAAAAAATATTAAAGTCTAAAAAATTGATAAATGTAATAAATTTTTAGAGCTTCAAGCTTTTGTACCGGGATTAATTTCCAAGTAAGAGGCGATACCATAGGAATCAACAATTCCCTGGAAAACTTGCGTAAATTTGTTGATTCTATTATATGTTGGTGGCTCTTCTGTAGTCTCTAAAAGATTCAGAACTGGTTTAACGTTGCTACCACTTTTTTCCTGTAATCACTCTCAATAATTAAATATCTTTGAAATGATAAAAAATAAATAAAAGAACATTTAAATAGCATAATTAAATAAAATGTTCCTTCAAATTAAGTTTTCCACTGAAACATAGTAAAAGAATTTTTTTTAATATAAACAGTTTTGCTGGAAACTTCTAAAGTGATTCATTTTTTGAAATTATCCCTTGATTTATAATAATGCTTGACTTTAAATAATTAAATGAACTTACTACTCCTTTTTCCAGAGCTAAACGCACATTTTCCAAATCAGCATATGATACCCAACACTCAGCGATGAAAAATTTACCAATAGTGTCAAAAGTGAAAAGATTTAAGGTATAATAAACTGATTTTTGCATACAAACCTAAAAATTTAATATGAAAAAGTTTTGCTAAATTGTACGAATGAAAATTTACATAAGCTTACTTTTAAAAAGAAAAATGCTTAAATTCAAAATTATAATGCAGATACCTCCTTCTGCCATTGTCTAACATAATTAGAAGCAGCTTGAAGAACTTTGTGTCGATGTTCTTGAGTTTGACCCAGTACTGTCTGCATGTCCGATATACGAGCTTTTACATCTCGTGCTGCCGCATGACGATCCTAAAATATAAACAGTAATCAAAAAATTGCCATAGTTTTTGTTACATTCCAAAGCTGAATTATTTTAAGTGATACCATATCATATCAAATAAATTGTAGAGTTTTGCATATTTAAAATTTTTGCAATCATGCTTCATTATTACAAATTTGTATATTCAAATTATCAAACCTTACTATTTTTGGGGCAGCTATTATACAATTTAGCTTTGAATCCTTCACAAACTTTTTCGATAATAATACGTAGCCGATTACCTTTGTAAAAAATAACGAAAACTGATTTAATGCACATTTCTCCCTGAAATTTTTAGATTCATTTTTGTAACAATCAAAGTTAGAGAAAATGAAAGCAAAATTTTTAACAAGTTTATATTACATTTTACAAATTCATAGAAAAAAGTCAAACAGGTTTTGCTTGTTAAATAAATGTTTTTTAATGCCAATAGCAAACTTGATTATTGAAGTTACTTTAGCAAAGTTTAAATTTTAAGCAACATACAGTATCAGGATCTTCTAATTCTTCTTCAATTTTTGTAGTACGCACAAAAGCTGTTCTGCGACACGCTCTCCATAAAACTTTTTCAAAAGCATTTACACGATCACAACTTATAACACCTACGGCAAATCTAAAACCAAAATAAAAGAATTTCATGCTTAATTTTATTAGGCAATCATCTGAAATTAAACTTCTTGTTCAATATACGGTTCAACGGCGTTACTAACTACATTTGGAAAAACTGACATTATTCAATAAGTTATTTCTAATTTAAAAAATATGATAATTTTAGTACGAATTATATATAAATTGCTTTATTTAAGAGTGTTACTACTATTTTGAAGTACTGTAGAGATTAATTTCAACTTACCCCATTGGTTCTTTTTCGCTTCTAAGCACAAATCCTGTTTCTTCTTGCACAGCTTCAATTTCTTGCATTGCAACGTCAGTGATACCCTTGAAAATAAATTTGTAAACTTGTGAATTGGTATCGTATGACTAATATTATTAGTATATTTTAAAGAATAACAGAATCCAACTCTAAAAATTATTCAGTTAATTAACCCATAGAAAACCAAATATCAATCAAATTACAAAGTATACTAGAAACAATTGTAACATTTTTCAGACTGCATACAATGATATTTGTCAATGTTTTAATTATAACGGAAAATGGAACTAGCTTCTTGGAAAAATTGATCAGTTTTTCCCAAAATTGCTTCCCATTCCTTTAGCTCGACATAATTTCGTTTTAAAAGTATATCACTCTCATTCATTTCAATTATATCACGCTCTAAATCGACTAGTGTTGCCTGCAGTATAGAATTAAAAGTACATCTTATTCCATATTATTAAAATTAGTTATTGTTATTATTATTACTATTATTATTATTATTATTATCATTATAATTGTGATATCCTTGAAACAAATAAATGTTAACAATATTAACTTGATATAAAGAAGTACTTTCACTCTTTGTAGATTTTGCTTTTAACAAGAAAAAAAATACAAAGAATCGAAAATTAATTTTAAAAAATTGTAGTTTCTGACATTTCTAATTTTTTTCAAACGTAAAGATTAAGAAAAGAAATCAATCACTTATACCTCGAATTGATTGAGTTCATGTGGAGCCATTATCTCATACGTATCATCTTTATCCACATCACAATTAACTTCTATATTATCTTTACGAATTTGACTATCAAGAAATCCTTTAAAAACAATTCACTCAAAGAATTTGAAATCTTTTAATTTATGCTATCAAATAAAACATATATTTGCATCTGTTTAAAATTTACGTAGTTTTCGTTCTAATTCTCCAAATCGTTGAATATCACGAACATACATCCTTTGAAATGGATTTACATTAGCATTTAACTGAAAATTGTTTTACATTTTTGAATAATTTTGATGCAAATTACTTTATAACCAATAAAACCGACTGCAGTATTTTTTTAATCTTTAGCTATATTTTTTAATTGCTTAAAAAATTAAATTGTTATTGGCAATACAAAAATAGATCATGATCTCACATGTATTTTTGAACTATATGTGTATTTATGTAATATGAAATTAATTAGTAACTCTAAATTTAATTACTTCATTCAGCAAAAATAGTTTCAGTAATTTTTTTCGAAAAAAAAGTGAATGTATTCAAAAACATCATAAAATAGTCTAGGAAAAATACATCTTTGAACTGAACATAAGGATGTTTTCCAAGTTCAGCCACACAACTGAATGCAGCATCTTTTTGAATAATCATTTGGCAGAATCGCATCTGCTCTGATCGATATAGAGATCCCATAATGATGATAATAAGTAGGACCAAATTGCAGTAAAACTAAATTTGATCTTTTCTTGGACCTACAAAACATTAAAAATTTTTTTCACGCAACAAAGCAGTTGAAGACTGCTTAAATTTTAGCATTTAAGTAAAGCAATTTCAAAATGGTCATTTATAAAGCCATAAAATTATTTTTCTATTCCAGTCTTATTTGCAAAAATGAAATTGAATAATTGAAACTAAAAGCATTTATTTATATGTATATGAATTCTATTTTTGATTACGTACATCAAATAAGAATTCAATAATTTAAAGCATGAAATACCTCTGAACTTCTTTTCAATGTTTATTTAAAGAAAGATTAATTATTTTAAACTGATTAAAAATGAGTGATAATGTTGAATAAGAAAAGCAGTTGAAATAAACTTTCTTGCAAAAAGCAAATAAAATGAATGATTTCAATGACCGAACAATTCTTAGAAGTGAAGTAACTGATAATGTTCCAGTTAATACTTCTCAACGACAATTTTCAGTTTTTAAATAGCGATAACTGTTTGAAAAAACTGTGATAATTTTTTTTAAACATTATAACATTTATACAGTGATTCAATCATTAAGTTTGCAAAGATTATTCAGTTTTATAATTGTTAGCCTAAAATTTTAGATCAATTGATAAACAGAACCAGAATGAAACAACTTTAAACTTATTTCATGCTCTTACATGACTTAAGAGAAAACGTTCAATGCATGCAACACTGATTCTACTATGATTTATTCTTAATGAATGATTAAAAGTGTGAAGTGAAAAGTGAAATGAGAAAAATTTTATTTACTTTGTTTATAATTTTGTTACAGTTTTGAGTTATTTTCATTATAAAATATTAAGTCATTCAATATTGGAAAGCTTAGTAGTATCTATCATGCAAATAACATTTAGTTAAGCTTATAAGCTAAATACCAAAATATGTATTGCTTACTAGGCTATATACATACTTCATATATGTATTAAAATTAATATTGCAAAACTTAAAGTTGTTCAAATTTATTTTTTGCAAAAAAAAAACAACAATAAAATGACTCTTTTTGCAGATTTTTTTAAATTACTGAACAAGTGTTTTTCTTTTTTTCAATGAAGAAATGAACTCTGAAAAATAATTTTCAAAACAATCTCCAAGTGTAACAAATAGAGATCAGTAATATGAAATGACAATGAAATATTTATTTACAATATAACAAAACAGAAAAAAGTTTCAGTCAAACATCAATACTGTTAAACTGAAATTGCAACTATGAGTATTCCACGCTAAAAGCTGACCAAATTAATTATATTATGATATTACAGTTTATTATTTGATTAATTTATTTTGAAAATCAAAATTGTAATAAATAGTGTCTAATATTGTGTGAAAGCCCACTACATAAAATGTAAAAACAAAAAAAAAATGAAGCATTACAACCAACGAAGACAGGAAATTTAAAGTATTTACACAAAAATACAAGTAAAGTGTGAAAATATTTTCAAAAAAAAACTAGAGGTTATTCAGAATGTATTTAGATCTCGGTACTTCAGTCATAATCACTGAGTATTGACATTTTTTTAGTGCAATGCAATGACTTTTCGTTTTTGCTACAGGTAAAAAGGACAACGATACACCTAAACATATGTTCAAGCTTCATTATATCACAAATGTTTTTTTGGGATAATCAATTTGCATGTAGATTCAAATGCATTCAAAAATAAAGTGCTACTGATGGAAAAAAATATTTAGATTTGTACATTCTTCCATAAAATAATGACGTTCTTTTTGTTTGCTGAGAGTAGCTAGTATAGATTTTTACTATCAATATTAATTTTTGTTCCACCACCATTGTATTTTATTTGCATATTATTCTTAGCTTAGCTTACATTAGATGTACCATTTTCAGCATATTTGCATTCATGCAAATATTCTTTTTTAGATTACATACAATATTTAATGTTTACTATTTTCAGCAGCTGACTTGCAAGAGTCAGGCACACATGAAAAAATAATAGTTTTTAAGCATAATCAAAAAGTCTATGCATCACATGAAATCACTGCAAAAAAATTGTAATTAATGTAAACAATATCTTACGATTCAGTACAATGATCTGTGATAGTGAGTTAAAAACAAGTTAAATAATGAAAATAATTTTATGATAACCTTGTAATTTCATTAAAATATGCGAGGGAATCAGATCATTTAAAAGGATGATACAAACTTGAAACCTAAATGAACTGGATTTTATTTTGATGAAAAGCAAATTAAACAGTTTCAAAAACTATAGATCGTAGTTTGCAAATTTATGCTGAAATAAGTACAGTTTGAAAATTTATTACTTAAAAATGGTAATTTATTTGATAAAAATGCGTTTAAAATTTAGTTCCTATGATCAGAAATAGTTCATTCTATTTAAAAATCACGAATTTTTTGCTCACAAATTGTTTTCAATACTTGTACTTCTAGTAATGTTTTCCTATAATATCGAAAAATCTTAAATCGTTATTTAACACAGTTCCAAATGAATGCAATTCTAAATCTTGCACTTATCTTACACTAATAATAATTTCTCTCAATGCAGTTTATTTTATCAAAATTATGATTATGATCTGAATTTTCATTGCTGTGAAATTCATAATTAATATAAATTAACTTTAAAAAAATCAGAAAGTTTTTCATATCCTCAGCTTTTTTTGATGTATTGCATAATAAAGCAGTCCTCTCACACTTAAAACAATCATTGTCAGAGAAAAGTTTTTTACTCTAGTGATATTAGTGCTAAAATTTAAAGCTCTTGATAAAATGACGGTTTTTTAAAAATATTAGTATGACAGTACTATGCGTATTAAACAATGGATATGGCGTATTCGCGAAATCTTTTTGCCTGTTGGAAGAATAAGAACAGCTAGACAATAAATCAATGCGATAGCAAATTGCATGAAAACAATAATGAAGAGTAACTATACCATTTAAGATCACTATAAATAATAACAGTGCTGTGATAATTATGATAGCATGCAATAACAACAGTTGTAAGGACTACAATCATTATATTACTATTAATGCTAATACCATTATTACTACTACATTTCCGTTAATTCTGCTACTATTACTACAAAAAAATTATTATATAAGAACTGATTCTACTATTACAATACGAACAACAACAACTACTATTGTATTATTAATAATAATTATATAATAGCAACTTATAATAATCATTATAATTATAAATAATAAAAAACGATAATGATAATAATTAATAATAATAATAATAATAAATACTACTACTACTACTAATATTAATAATAACAGTGGCAATAACAAGACAGCTATTAGTTTTCACTGGAATCAGTCAACATGTTATCGATGATAAGAATCAAAATTACAGCAGTTAAAAAATATTTGGAAAATTTTCAAGCGACAGATAAAGAAGGAAAAAAGAGGGTGGTAGTTATTTAGGTGAAGGCAAATGACTAATCCCTGTTCCTCCTGTCATCATTATATGTCGAGACTACTACTACTTACTGGTTTTGAGTTCTTATGCAATTGCAAAAATATTGCCTGCGCGATGTTACAAAACTAATAACCAGTTTTCTGTTTTCCTGTGACATACTAGGTAGAAGCTTAAAACTTGTCAAAATATGGCGCAAATGTCTCTTCAAACTGTTCACATATTTTCAGTTCTTTTTATACACAGCATGTATG